ATATGTTCAGTCTTTACTGTGTGTGTGTGTGTGTGTGTGTGTGTGTGTGTGTGTGTGTGTGTGTGTGTGGTGTGTTTCTGTGTGTGTAAGAAGTGTCAAGACTTTCAGGAACAACACAGAAAAATATGACATTTAAACAACAAAAACTCACCAAGGACTTGGATTTGTAGCAGAAAAAACTCCTCAACTCATTCTGCACAGGTTCAAGCAGTGTCCGGAAGTGATATGTCAAGACAAGTGATTAAATGATGTAGAAACCCAGTCTGATGCAGGCTCAGCAACATCTGCTTACAAACCTCCAGGAAGACACAGGGGCTTCTCACTGCTTATTTAAAAGAACTGCATGGGCTGTGTCTCCCTAGGCAGGAAAGAATACATCCAGATCACTCTATAGAAGAATATCTCCTGGCAAATTCCAATTTGGTGGGGCTGGCAGAGGCTTACTTGCTGTTTACAGTAATTCAGAGAGAGGAAAAAAAAAACTTCTGGTTATATTATCATTCCAAAAATCTGAATTTGGGGCTCCTTTGGAATTCTTTACTCTTGCTTTTACCCCCCAAAGTGGAGAGTTAAAGATCACAGTTCAGGACCCACACTGCTAAGCAAGCCCCTCCCAACACAGCCATTCTGGGGTGACCTTTCAGCGGGTCTCTGGCATGAGCAGTGCAGTCTCCCGGCGCAAAGCCAGAATGTAAGATGAAAAGTCACATGCGGAGGATGACGCAAGGGAAACAATCATGACTCATGCTGGGAGCCAGAAAGAAATTCCAGGTCTTAGGCACACTAGCTCCTCAGCCTGCTGTTGTGCTCGGCATAAAAACCCCTTTCACATTTTATGCTTTGAGACTCCCAGAAATGAGACTTTGGCAGGGGTCGGGGGTGTCTCCTTGCTACTCAGCGGTTCCAAGTGCATTGCCCTTGGTTCCTCTGGGAGCTTCAAGGGACACTTTTCCAATGCTCCAAAGCCTTTTGATGTGCTGCAGATGAAGGAGGGTCTCTCATATTCTTTCAGCAGGAGCCTACTGAGGTGGCACCGACCTTGACTTCCACATGGAACACTAGGAAAGAAAAAGTGACAGCATCTGTATCATTAATCTCCAGGGAGGAGCTTCTACTCAGCTCATCCACTATTGTTATTAGGTTTCCAAGGAAGAGATGGGGGCAGAGGGCTGTGGAGGAAGGGAGAGAGAAAAAGAATGCAAACCCAGCTGAGGCCAGTGTCCTGTCTTCTAGAACGATTGACCCACAGGGCATGTTGGTACCGCTGGTGCCCCCTTGTTGTTTCTGGTGGTGGCTTGAACCCAGATCGTTGAGCATGCTAAAAAACACTATATCATTGAGCTATATTTTTAGCCCTGTCTTTTTTTTTTTTTTTTTTTTTTTTTTTTTTTTTTTTTTTTTTAACCAGATCCAGGTAGCCTTCTGAGAGCAATGTCTTCTAACAATGGCTGACCCCAGGACAAACTAGCAGCCACTTAAAAGGCATCTGATACCACCTGCCTGCCATTGCTCTGAGTAACATAAAGACGAACCTGTGCCAGTGGACAGTGACAATCAACACACAAAAAAGGGTATCCACCCTGTGAACCTGGTGTGGAAGTCCTACAAGTGTGTGGCACATCTCCCAAGAGCACGATAGGAGGTCACACTCAATCGCTACTTCTGCAGAGATTGAAAAGGAAGAGCAGAATGAGAACAAGGAGAATAGTATGAAATCTCTTCAGGTTCTTGTCTAACTCTTGAACTAGTTGTGGTAAGTGAAGCTGACAATGACAATAACTACCAAATTCCTGCTAGCTTTCATCCCTAGTGCCATGGGTTATGTTGTAATGCAAATACTAACATTATCATTTGACCAATAAAAAGCATCTCAGGGAGACTGAGTTGGGCACAGTCACACGAGTATTATATAAAAGACTGACAAGAGCCATTTCTGTCCAAAGTCTCCTTGTTAGCCATTGTGCCTCAGAAGACAACTTTCAAAATCAAAGTCAACTCCATATTTCTAACCAAGTCTAACCTGTCTTGGGAGACAGGCGAGACTTCTTACTCAGCTGTGTCACTGAGAAGGAAGGATGTAGGAGGAAGATTTGAAAATATGCCCTAGAAAAGAGAGTGCTCAAAAAACATAAATGTCTTAACACTGCTGAAAGTAATGGGTACAGTTCTATTTACATATGTATGTTGGGATTTTATTTTATTTTGTTTTGTTTTGAGACAGGGTCTCATTAGGTAGCTCTGGCTTTCCTGGAACTCACTATATAGAAAGGGGCTGCCCTCAAACTCATAGAGATCCACCTGCCTCAGCCTCCCAAGTACTGAGATTAAGGGGTGCACTGTTACACCTGGCTAGTAAATTTATTTATTATTTATTCATTTGAAGTGTCAGGGATCATGCATGTTCCCTGTAAGTGCTCTACCAATGACCATGTCCTCAGCCTTACCATGTGACTTTAAGAAATTGTTTCACCTTCTCTGGAGCTCACAGCTGTTCCCTGTTTCTATATCTGTCACCATGAATCACTCTATGTGTGATGATAAAGGTGTTATGAACACAACCACCATATTGAGAACCTTCAAAGTGCCAGTACCTGGAGCTGTGATGAAACTGAGAAATTTGGCACTAAGACAAGCTACTTGTTAACAGAATCTCTTTTAACAAGCAAGGAAGCAGAGTCATGGAGCCAGGCAAGCACCTGCCCAGGTCATATGGGAAGCCAGGCACCTCCATGTATTGAGATGTTCTGGAAAACCCAGAACAGCAAGAGGTAAATTTACCAAGGCCAAGTAAATTCTGGACGCTAGAGTTCACATTAAAGCTAAGGAAAAAATGACTAAGTGGGGTGGAAAACCAAGGGAAAGGTGGCTCACTTGGAGCACTGAGAGATGTACATCCACTGGCTGGCAGCAAGGAATGGGCTGCAGCTTAGGCCTTACAGTGCTGCTGCAAAAGGCTAGGCTTGAAGACAAAAGGCAGGGCCACTAGGAACTAACTTGGTGGAGTGATGGTCCCATGATCCAAGCCCTGATTCTGTCCCCAAGCATGGTGATACATGCCTGCAATCCCAGCACCAGTAAGAGATAGAAGAACCAGGCCAGTGAGATGGCTCAGCAGACAGCACTTGCCACACAACCCTGAGGACCTGAGTTTGAGCTCTGGAACCCATGGTGAAAGACAACCAACCCCCAAAAGTTATCCTCTGGAAGCCCCACATGTGCTATGATGTGCTATGGTATATGTATGCCCAGACTCACACATCACACACACTAAAAATTTGTTAATTAAAAGAACCCAAATGGAACTGGGAGTGGGGAGGGGGGCTTATTAGCAGACCGTAAGTACATGCCATTCGAAGGGGATCATGACGAGGGAGAGGGAGCTTGCTACATGAAAAAATGTTGCTTTCATCATGGTCTGGTTAAACTATGAAGAAGGAACAATGTTATCTTTAATTTTTTTAATTAATAGAAGTAATAATAGAAGACTTGCAAAAAATCAAAAAATTGTTCAATAGACCTAGATAGACAGAAAGACAAAGTAGAGAAGATTAAAGTTCACGAATACCAGCTTGAAACATCAAGAGAGCCAAAGGCAGGGTACTGACGGTTCAGCATCCTGTATGACTAACAGTGGGATTGCAGAGAGGGAAACAAGTGACCTTAAACAATGTGGAGCCTCACACAGGGAAAATGCAGTCCTGTGAATGCATGAGACACTGGGTTTAATTCCCGACACCATAACTAATAATAATGATAAAAGTAATAACATAACAACAATAATAATAATAGATGATAATAATAACAAATGAAGTCCTGGAAGATACTGGTAACTTTTTTGTTAAACAGGAATTTGTCCAAAAAGAAAGCCATACAATGGAAGGGAGTGTGTACAAATAAACTAGGCAAGTTTTAAGTGTATATTGGGCTGCAAAACATTTTTTAAAACTTAATTCTGTGAATTTGGGCAAATGTAGCCTAGGGCACTGCTAGTGTGTTTCCTGACTAAGACCTCTGTGACTGTGAGGGAGAGTTCTCAACACCAGCAGATGTCCTGGCGCTGAGACACAGTGGCTGACAAGCACAGCTCAGAAAACACTGTAAGCACCTCTGCTGATGTCATGGGGCAAATTCAACAGGAACTTGTGTCGAACAAAAATTAAGTAGAAGAACCCTTTACTATCTTTCAAATATGCCTACATACACTTTTGCCTTAAATTTCTTCCTTCCTCCCTCCCTCCCTCCCTCCCTCCCTTCCTTAAGAGGCCCAGGCCAGTCTCCACTATAGAACAAGACCCAGTTTCTCTATCCCGCTCCCCTCAAAAAATGAAAGAAAAGAAAATGTCAGGTACAATGGCACACATTCAGCATGTGGGAGGCTAAATCAAGTAATTCTGAGGCCATCCTGAGCTGCTTAATGAGACCCTATCAGAGAATAAGAGGGGATAGAGATGTAACTCTGTTGGTAAGGTGCCTGGCTAGCATGCATGAGGCCCTGGGGTCAAGGCTCAGCACCTCGTAGAACTGGATGCGGTGAAACATGCCTGTAAAGTAAGCAATCTCAGCACCCAGAAGGTGGAGGCAAGTGAATCTGAAATGCAAGATCATCCTACACAGGAAGTTTGAGGCTCCCCTGAGTTAGACGAGACCTTGTCTTAGAAATAAATAAATGTGTAAATAAATAAAATATTATAATAAAGAGGGAAACATCTGTTCACTTGACCTCCTATTATAATTGGTTCTCAAAATATTTTGTTTCTATGTGCTGCAGAAACTTATTAAATTGCTAAAACAAAAGCCACAGAAATGGAATTTCACTGTTAAATTCTACATAGTTCCAAAAAGTATGTAAACCTCTTGTTAAGAAGCAATATAATATTTTTATGGTAGTCCAGCAAATTATGTGAGCTACTAAATCAACTTGGTTCATTTATTTACTTTGTTTATCGGTCAGACCAGCCCATTACAGGATTTTACCACTATAAATGGGCCCCTGGACTAAGTCATGCAGGCAGGCAACAACTCCATCAAACCCAATAATTAATTGGGCAGTCCTCCTCCATATGTCATGGCGACTACTCATTAAAACAGTGCATATGGCTCATACCTGCATGTGCTAGCCTTTTGCTTTTGTTCATGGTTCAACAAATTTATGAACTATAGATCTAGTGGAATGATGAAAAATTAGTTCAGGGGATATTATAATAAGGCTGAGAGTTTAAAATTAGAAAGGAGAAATTTGAAGCAAGAAAAAAATATGTCACATTGACAACAGAATTCATGACAAACTCATAAGTATCTGTGGATTGGCTTCCATGTCCAACACATGGCTAGAGTTGAAAGAAAAAAAGAGATGCACTGTCCATGCCTCAAGTCTTGTTTTTATTTCAGGAGATAACATCTGTGTTGAAAAGACTAGGTAACAGCATAAAGTTGTCACTGGTGAATGCCACTGTATTTGTCCATTTTATCATCATGTTGATCAAGTACCAGACAGAAAGACCTTAAAGTCTTTTGTTCCCTTTTGATTCATCGTTTCAAAGGGTCTAGTACATGATGGCTTGGCCCTGTGCGTGAGCAGAAAGAGCATCACAGTAATGTGGGCCTGTGGTAGAAGCTGTTCTCCACTTAGTAGCAAACAGAAAATAGAGCCACAAAAATTGGGGCCAGGTGACCTACCCTTCCAGG